ATTTCCCTTTACGGAAAAATGAACTATTTTAAAATTGAACTGATTAAGTAATGCAAATTAACGGTAAATAAAACTTCTCTTTTCCCATTTATCTCAGCAGAAATTTTTCCATATTTCTTCCCCGATCAATCAACAGCTTGAAATGATCATAATACTCTAACGTACCAAAGCTAGCTTCTGGTGCTCTTGAGGATTAGCAAGTCTCAGAGTGGGTTAAAACTAAACATGGAAATTAACTTCAACTTTTTGTGACTGGACATGTAACACCCATCATCAGTAAATCCTGGTTTTCCACAAACTTTACACATTAACCACAGGTATAAACATTTTTTATATACTTACACTCTTGCAATAAACTTCTAATGGTGATGGAAACATTAAACATTATATGGGTTTCAGTCTTTCTTTGCACACTGCAAAAACACAAAACCTTAGCAAGTATTTTTAGTTTCTAGTGCAGTTAATGTACTACTGCTGAAATAAGACAAAAGTCATTTTTCAATAAGCTCCTATATTTTTCTGAAAAGTTACTCGTAAGTTAATTTTGTGTTATTTGAACTGTACTAATATATTTGCACTAGAAACTAGAACAAAAATACCTGTAAGATTTTGTGTTTCTGCAGTGCAGGAACCGATTTCCTGTGGATGAGGCGACATCAAGCCGTAGCTCCCGTCTGCCTCTGCTCCCTACAAATGTCATTTCCATTAAGATGTTAAATAAATGATCGACACTTCTCGCCTCTCTGCCTTTCCAAGAACAGCGCTCTGCTTTTGACATTTAGTTGGAGAGGAGCGCTTTTCATACACTGTTATTTTCCAGAAAATAAAATATGCTTGCCATTTTCTAGTGCTGTTTGAGCGTACAGAGATTGACTTAAGGTTTCCAGCAGTGAACTGTGGACAGAAGTGGAGAATTCATGGTCAGTAACCTTAAAAAACAGACAAAAAGCTGTTGGAAAGTTGTAAATAATTACACATTTTGTTGGTTTATTTGTTGGTTATGATTATTAGTTCTCCTTTTTGAAAGTCTGTCAAAGTTTTTCATCGGATTTTGAATGTTTTTTCACTTATTTTCAGAAAAATACTTTTTTCTGGTAGATTGTTTAGCCACTTAACTTTGACCTATAAATAAAAGACGAGTAAGACCTTGTGTCTTATTACAAATAAAAGAAAACATAATAAAGAAGGCAATTTATTCTTTATACTTAGCAGCTGTTTCTATTGATTTCTTAAACCAAATTTTATTAAAATACCAATACAGTTGAAACCAGATATTTACATACACTGAATAAAAAGGTGCAACTTTTTTTCTGTCACAGTCTGAAGTTGAATCAGACCAAACTTTTCTTGCTCTAGCTTAGTTAAAATTACATAAATTATTTATATTTATTAATTACCAAAGAACTTGGCAAGAATATTTTGTGGTTCATGGCTGATGAACAGAGAATTTGAGCTCCTCCCCTCTTTCCATTCAGGACAAAAAAGGCGGGAATCACCATAGCAACCACTGACAGCATTTCCGGTCTGTTTTGTTCTCACCAGGTTATTTTTCACAAGAGAAAGGAAGGAAAACTGTGCATTCTGGATATTTTAGGACAGTAGCTACATTAGCTTTAAAATTTAGAAGATTATACCTCAATAATTTGCACATTTGTCTTTAAAAAAATGCAAAAACACAAAATCTGCCATGTAATGTTTGTTTAGTTTCTAGTGCAAATATCTTAGTGCACTTGAAATGAGACAAAATTGACTTACAAGTAACTTTTCAGCAACGTTTAGGAGCTTGTTTTGATTCAATCTATAATATTGATGAACAAGTTCTAGTTTCATTGTCAGATTATTTCACTTACAACAAGCATTTTTTCTCATGTTATAAGTGAAATAATTTCCCAGTGGAACCTGCACTCTTTCATCAATATTAAATTCAATAATTTTACTTAAGCTCCCATTTCTTGCTGCAAAGCTACTTATAAATTAGTTTTGTCTTATTTCAAGTGAACTAAGATATGTCCACTGGAATTTAGATCAAATTTACTCAGTAAAATGTTGTGTTTTTGGAGTGTAATAACAGAAACATGGTGAATCGATTACAGATGTCGGTTGACTCACCTGGTCCTTCTCTGGTTTGTCAGAGATGTCATTCAAGCTGCTGGACGCCAGGTTCTTGTGAGGCGTTGTCGGACTATCTGTTGTGACGCAGAAACGGATTAAGTTTGAAATTTGTCGGTTTTTCAGAGCTGAGAATGAGATAAAACTGATGGAGGCGGAGGAGACCCAGGAAAAAGACAGTGGCCCAGAGGCTACGCTCCACATGCATCACCAGAACCTTTACCGCTCCGCTGCAATGTCCATGCCAAGCCAGAAATGAAGAAATGCATGTCCAGATTATCCCTGTAGCTGAGATATATTTTGGGGGTAAGCTGATTAATTTTTATGACTTTTATGAATATATACACAATAGAAAAATATTAAAGTCGATGTCTTTGGGAACAACATGGCGTTATTGGCTAGTGGGTGTATTAAACCCATAATGCATCAGTTCAGGGGCCCACATGCTTGTAAATCTGGCTGCTTCAATGTTTTACCACAGGCACAAAACTCAGAAATATTTCAAAGTTCAAACCTCCAGCTCAGAAAAGAGACTCTCTCCATTTATCTGAGACCAAAAAAAGAAAATCTGTGCCAGTTTGCAATCTCTACTTCCTGTTTCTTACAGCCATTCGCAATGTCAACATCTGACAAAATTACTCACTAAAAGCCAATGGATGGAAACATTTTATTTTTATTTTACTTAATTTAATGGAAACAAAGTAAGTATTCTCCCAATCCACAAAACACTTAAAAAACAAAACTATCTCCTTCTAGGTATGCACTGATCCACTTTTTTCACTTCAGATATCAATATCTGAGGTTTAATACCGACCCAATAAACACGGACTTAAATGTACTGAATAACAAATATATTAAGTAACTCTGCACCGGTACAGCTCACTTAAAAACACCAACAGCTTCACCAGCTTGGTCAAACACGAAAAAACTACTTTAATTGGTTCAGTCAGTTAAATTAGGAGCATAACATGTAAAATAAATAATAAAGAGACTGAAACTGACAAAAACAGTAGAAATGTAAAAATGAAACTGCAACAATTTCAAATGGTTCAGAAAGTAAAGTTAGGAATTTTAATATAACTTGGACTGGCACCTGACAGACACCTGATCTTTTATTTTTTTCAGTATTGATACAAATATTAATATTGGATCGGTGCATCTATAACCTCAGCTAAGATAATTACTGCTAACTCTGCCTGATTTAAAGAATCTAGTTTTTATTGCATGTTGGATCCAAACTTAAGCAGCCCTGATGTTGGTGAAGTTTACACGCCGTTCTCATGGTTTATTAAACTTTCCTGCTTGCCCAGCAGCTGCTCAGCATCCACTCAGAGTCACCGCTAACAGGTGAGGCTATCCGCTCACACCAAAACAGCCCACTAAGTGCTTTCCTGTGACTGATGCTCTGCTGATGCTCAGTTTCTGACAGCGTGATGCGACCTCTCATCACGGCCCTCAGCAGGTAGGAGGACGAGCGGCGCCACTGAAGCTTTTTCATAAATCTGCCCCCTCAGCATTGTGGGTAAAACCAGGCCTGTCAGTATGATGCAGCCAGCATTAAGAAATCTGCTTTTGAGGTTGACTTTATATTTGTCGTTCTTAAATTTTACATCAATAACGAGGGAACTGACCATGAAGACTAAAGGAAAACGTAGAAATGTTCCTGCACAGTGATGCTTCGTTTCTTCTTTTTTATAAAATTGTGTGAAATATTTCTGAACAATAAGTAACCAGGTCAACTGTTACTCTAACTTCACTTCCATTAGGTTAAAATGACTTAGTTCATGTTCAGCATTCTGACTACAGCTGGACAATAAATCAATAACAATATATCACGATAGACACATGATCAATATCAATAGACAATACATCTGATATCTATTCAATATTCACTATTTAGAATAAATACTGAGCCGCACTGCATTCTGGGAGAAGGTTTATGGAATGAAGTAACTCACTCACTGTTTGGTAAGGCGCTAGCTTTTTCCACAGATTATCTGTCTCATACTACTGTAATGACATAATGAGAGTTCAACAAATATGTAAAACATATTTTTAATGGAAGTTACAAGCTGCAGCTTCAACTTGACTCCATGTGAGATTTTCTGATTAATCCTCCAAACTGATCTGACAGCAGAGAAGATACTTATTGCTCATAAATACTCCACACAACCCCAGTTCAAATATGGATGTCTTTTTTTTTTTTTTTTTGTCCATTTGTAAGTCCAATTCACCTTTTTTTCACTACTAGGTGTTCAGCATGTTGCAACCGGGTCTGGGGAACTTACTAAGCCAGTCCATACTGGTACTCCTTTGGTTCTGCAGGTCCTCCATGGAGATGTGACCCGACAGGCAGGTCACCGAGTTCTCCAGAGGACTGCGGGCTTTTAGCGGCAGCAGAAGGTTATCAGAAGCAGTCCAGGCAAGCAAGAAAAGGGGACAGACAGGTGGAAAGGTCGAGATGAAGGACAGTCGATAGGCAAACAAAATCAAGACTGTTAACAGATTTGATAGGGAGGGAATAATCGGTGTGTTAAAAGCTGTGCAGAGAAACAGTGAGTTCAGAGGAATGGTGATGTTAAACTGGAGAAGCAAGCAGTGGTTTCAACTCTTGACTATGCACTTTATCCTCCAAGGCGTTATAACCCATTAATGATTATCACTGATGTTCTTTATCTTTACTACGATCCAGACTTTGACATGATGGCGCAGCCTGTTGTTTCATCATCCACATGTTTCTCACATCTGATAAGAGCCAATAAATAACTTCACTTCATGGTTGGTCACAGATTAATTACATCGAGTTACTCAACGTTTTACAATCAAAGCAAACATGTCCATAAAGTCAGTTAGGCCTGTGTGCTAAATCCAGATGCTAATTTCCCCAGTTAGGAGACGGAAACATGCTAATTTTGATGCAACTGTAATTCAGAAGCAGAGCTGCAAAAACACAAAATCTTAGGAAACCTGAAATATGACAAACCTGAAGTATAAGAAACTTTCAAGCAACATATAGGAGCTAGTTTTAAGTCAGTAGTTTCTTATTATTACAAAAAATGTATTAGTTTCATTAATATCATGGGAAAAATGTCTTGGTATAAGTGAAATAATCTGCCACTGAAACTAGAACTTTTCACAAATATTAAGGAATTATTGACTTAAAACAAGCTCATAATTCTTGCAGAAAAGTTACTTGTAAATTAGTTTTGTCTTATTTCAAGAATGCTAAGACATTTATATTAGAAGCTAGACCAAAAATACTTGGTAAGATTTTGTGTTTTTGCAGTGTATTTCTCCTGCTTTCACTCTTCTGTGTACTAAATAATCTCTTATTGACAAATTAATTACTTGTCAGTTCTAAACAACTTAGTCAGCTTTATTCTTTTGTTTCGGCCTTGAGGTTTTTCCACCACAGCAATAAAAACTTGCATCACTTTGGCTCCTCTATGTTAGGAGATTAATGCAAGCGCCTTGAAATACATTTTAAAGTGCAGTTAGAGAGCTGATACCAAACGCCTGTCGCTTGAACACAGGAAACTGATCGACAGCACAGTAAACAAGTGTTTGCTGTTTATTCCTTTCATATATATTTTTTTTCTTGCCAAACTTTAACCTTTCAAATCACCAAACAAATGTTAATGTTTAAAAATGTATTAAGGGAAAAATGTATCCAAACCAACCTGGCCTGAAAAGATGATTGTCGTCTAAACCTAACAGCTGGTTATCGTGTCCTTGCAGGCAAAAACTGCTATTAGAGTTTGTGATTACTGACGACGTTTCTAGGATGAATTTCCTTTTTTTTTTAGCTGAATTATTTTTATTTTATCCACATTTAAGCATTTTTGACCATGAGGGATTGACCTGTTTGGGGTCATGCAGCAGCAACTCAATCACATTTAACTATGACTAGGATTCTCCAAATCCTCCCCAAAAACACAAATCTTACCAAGTATCTTTGGTCTAGTTTCTAGTGCAAAGATGTTAGTACACTTTAAATATGACAAAGATAACTTACAAGTAACTTTTCAGCAAGATTTAGGAGCTCTTTTTACATCAATAAATACTTAATGAAAAAGTTTTAGTTCAGATTATTTCACTTTTAACAAGTGAAATAATCTGAACTAAACCTTTTTTATCAACTTTAAGGAACTATTTACTTAAAACAAGCTCCTATATCTTTCTGAAAAGTACTTAAAGGTTAATTTTGTCTTACTTCAAAAGTACTAAGATATTTACACCAGAAACTAGATTAAAAATACTTGTAAAGATTTGTGTTTTTGCAGTGCAGTTGGATTTATTTGTCATTTAGAGACAGACATGCGGATCTTTCTCACCTCATAACCCAAGTATGTTTGAGCTTAAGGTTGGATATGCAGGACTTTCCAACAAGAGCAACAGATTAAATCCATTTGGCAGCACTACCACTGCCATGCTTTATATTTGGTCTGATGTTCTTGTTCTGAAATGAAGTGTTAGTTTTATAAATGATGCATATGAAGCTGACGCAGCTCTAAACTCCTCTAAACTGACATAGCGTTCCTTTAGTGAACGACTGATCAGTTGTTGCAGCTAAGAAATATTTCTAACACCAACATGCTGATCTGGTGATAATTTTTGGGATTAACAGATTAATAAATTTCGCTTAATATGAGATGTTTTTTTGTTTGTTTAAGACAATTTGAACCAAGTGAATGTAAAAGTGCCACTTGATGAATTAGAAGTGGAATATATTAGGTTTTGTTTTATCTTAAATGCAAATTTATATTTGACAGTTTTATTTGAATATGTTGTTCTTTCAGACTCTTTATAGTCCAGCAAATGATAAATCAATTACAAAATTAGTTGATAATCATTTTTAATGATTGACTCGTAGCGATTAATCAGATTAATCGTTCCAGTCCTAATTACAGTTCATTCATGACTTAAAACTGGGGCAAATATTGTTTCACAAACATCCAGGTGGGTTGGAAAATGCTGTTTCACTTCTTAAAATAATCTGAATTATAATTTTAGTTTTTTAAGGTTATCCTTGTCTTGTATTAAATTTGTTTGTTGATCTAAAAGGAGAGCAAACACTTTTTCACTGCGTTGTTTAAACTTTTGTGTTTTAAGATAAGAAATAAGAGAAAAACTCTATAACATTTTTTAGTTTAATCCCTGACATTTTCCAGAAAATTTGCTAGAAAAATCTGAGAAATTTTTATATTAAACTCAAAACTGTTTCAGAAAAAACAAGGCAATTTGTTTGAAAATCAGAAAGCCCCCCCCCTTTTTTTTTTTAGAAAATTTCTGAGACTCTCCTCAAAATTTCAGATTTTTTCAGGCAAATTGTTAACTTATCAAAATAAAAATTGTCCTTGTTGTTTCTTGAGAATTTCTTAAATTAATCTCAAAATGTTTATTTCTATCTACAGTGATTCTTATATGATGTCAAAAGTTTCAGAGTTAGTTGATTCAAGATGCTACAAAAATGAATATGCATCCAGGAATACCCAGTAAATAATGTTTCCCTGCATCTTCTGGTTCCGTATGAAACTAATTTGACCAACTGGGCTCTAATAAGAGTCCCACACAAACGCTGTCATTTGCAGTTCAGCACTCAAAACTCACTGGATTTCTCGTCACTCAAATCCAAATTAATTTTGTATATTTTCTCTGTTGAATCACGACTTTCCCGTTCTGATTTTCTAGAGTGAAAAGCTGAAAAGACTGCACCAAACTGGCACCACTGTTACCGTTGTCCTGGTTGGAAAACAGCCTACTTGCGCTGGAAACCGTTTTCCCAATGTCGGCCAGGGAGCGGAGGTTGGACTTCTTGGTCTGGTGGCGGTGTTTCCGTAGCAACGTGTACATCACCTTGTCCTTCAGGTCTGCTTTCAGCTGGCCGATCTCTATCTGGTTGTCAGTGATCATCTCTGAAAGCAAACAACTGTTGCGTCAAATCTTAGTTTAGATTTTGTTGTAATGCAGAAAACATTCATATTATTTTTACGTTTTATGTAATGAAATTGTCCGTCCAAAACCCCTTTTCTAATAAATTGTTGAATGAATAGACATACGAGCTCAACTACAGAGATATTTACTGTTTTTAATCTGTTATTTAAGTTATTCAACCATCAGGTTGCTAGGTAACGGGGCTGGGCTCATCTGGGGTTGCTAGGTAACAGGGCTGGGCTCATCTGGGGTTGCTAGGTAACGGGGCTAGGCTCGTCTGGGGTTGCTAGGTAACGGGGCTAGGCTCAGCTGGGGTTGCTAGGTAACGGGGCTGGGCTCATCTGGGGTTGCTAGGTAACAGGGCTGGGCTCATCTGGGGTTGCTAGGTAACAGGGCTGGGGTCGTCTGGGATTGCTAGGTAACGGGGCTGGGCTCATCTGGGGTTGCTAGGTAACAGGGCTGGGCTCGTCTGGGGTTGCTAGGTAGTGGGGCTGGGGTCATCTGGGGTTGCTAGGTAACGGGGCTGGGCTTGGCTGAGGTTGCTAGGTAACAGCACAATGCCATTTCAAAAACAGGAGGTTTTTGAAATGGCACATATAAGTACACCTGCAAGTAACTGAATATAAGTAACTGCTCCGTATTTACCTCATAAATATACATAATGTGCTCTACTAGCATCCTGTTTCATAATATATGAAGCAGCAAAAGTTCTCCAGCTGCTAACATGTTTAATGCAAACCCTGAATTTCACAATGCAGTCGAAACGCCGATCCAAACTACAGTTGAAAGGATCTTCATACTTGTAAAAACTCAATTAGCGACTCCAGGAGTGAAATGTTCCCGTTTAAGAGTCTTGCTGGCAGGATATGGTTCAATCTTAAGGTCTGAACTATTTTTAAAAAGATCAGAAGCCTCAAAGCGGACAGAAGCCAGCCTCGGGGAAACTCTCTTCCTGTGGACGGTTAGTACAGTTAATGGCCCATCAGTCAGAGCGCCGGTTCTTTTCGGGCTGCGCGGTCAATTACATCACATTAATCAGTCTGAGTGGGAGCTCTTCCTTCGTGCAGACCAACACAGAGACGTCATAATCTCAGTGCAACTGGAGACAATGAACTGCCCTTAGACTGCGGAAGTTTTAGAGCCACCATTTTAATTTTGGAAACTACTTTCTGAGACCAGCTAATGTGCAAACAAACCAAAGACGCCTCAGACTCAGACTACAGCACACTGCAGGAACATGATGACCTTTATCAGGCTTTGCAGCGCGGCTCCACGGGTCACATGATCAATTTACTCACCAACAACCTGAGGGAGAGTGGACGCCTCCAACTCCAGCATGATGGTGCCTTTCTCTATGCAGGTGCGCAGCTCCAGCAGGCTGTGCAAGGACAGCGTCGCCACGTGGGGTTTACTCCAGCGCTCACCTCCTTTCTCCACCTTTTCCTCAAACTTTATCCACCTGCACAGACAGCAAAGCAGAAAATAAGGAGTCCAATAAATGGAAACACATAAAACTGATTCAGATTACTATATGAAATAAAAAATTACAAGATCATGGATGGTCTTTATAGGGCTTTTAAGATGTCTTCTGCAGAGGTCATATCAGAAATGAGCTGCGTTTACTTTGCAAAAAATAAAAATACAATTTCACAATTTCTGTGTTTCAATTAAATAAGAAATGCAATTAAAATCGCATGTGCATATGTTTATTTACGCGATAAATCATTAAAAAACACTTTGTGCCATCATTTTCCTACCACTTCCTGTCGTATTCTTTGTCTTTTTCACTAGCAGTAAAATCCTGTTGTTGATCACATGACTTGTAATGAGAAAAAAAAAAATTCCATGGAAGTTTTGCAAAAATACACTAATTTCAATACAGCCTCATCCTAGTGCAAAAACATTTTAGAGAAAAAGTTTTCTTCTTTTTTTTACAGCATGTTTTGATTTAGCCAATTAAATGTTGTAATTTCAATTTGTACATTTTTATGGCCAATAAAAACGCAGCTAGTGATATTTTACATCGTTCTAGTGCCAAGCTGTTCTGCATGTTTGTAGCTTTAGGAGATCAGGCTCCAAGTCTGTTTTCATTGGGCCCGTTTGGTTCTGGGGTTTTCATTGGGCCCGTTTGGTTCTGGGGTTTTCATTGGGACTGTTTGGTTCTGGGGTTTTCATTGGGCCCGTTTGGTTCTGGGGTTTTCATTGGGACTGTTTGGTTCTGAGGTTTTCATTGGGCCCGTTTGGTTCTGGAGTTTTCATTGGGCCCGTTTGGTTCTGGGGTTTTCACTCGGCCCATTTGGCTGCCAAACCTGCACTTGGCAGATGGACAACTGGACCCAACAGTGGTCCGGGTTTCTGTTCTCCAGTTGTCACCCAGTCCACACGCAGAGGGAGGCATTGCACAATATCTTCACTTCTTAATGAGTTTGCAGAATAATTAGTTTATATTAAATTACTCTGATTTTACAGGTGATTCTTGTAAGAATCCAAGCAGCAATAGTGTGACACGTATTGCTGCGTGTCACATTATAGAGCCACTAATCTATTTTATTTAACTAAGAGTTTAAATTCAGTCCAATTCAATTAAAATGGTCAAAATTGAAACATTTATATTGCTTTTAGTTTTTATTCACATTATTTCTGACAAATATTTTGTCCATTTATTGTGGTTTTAAAGGGTCACTGCTTTTAATTAAATAAAAATATGTTAATTTATGTTCAATTTGCAATTAATTAAACATCTATGGATTCAAATTCAGCTACAGGCTTTACTATTTGATCCTCAGTTTAATACAATGGAGGCAAATTACATCAGCAGCAATTCCTCATACTGAGCAAGCATGTGGGCACAGTGGAAAGAAACAACTCCCTGTGAACAGGAAGAACCCTCCAGCAGAGCCAGGCTCAACTGATGGGGCTTCAGAGGACAGGAAGTAAACACAGAAAAGAGGGGAAACCGAACGTTGTATTTACGCATTAATCTCGTTTAAGCTCCATTTTGCAGTTATAAATCACTCACTGCATCAGAATCACTTCATTTTCTAACTTATAAGGCATCAGAAATTTAATTTTTGGAATAATCTAGCTTTAAATTAGAATAAAACAATAGCTTCATCTTATTAAATGCATAAAATGTTAGGGCTGTAACTAACTACCATTTAAATAATCAATTATTCTATTAATTATTCTAATGATTAATTGATTAATCAGATAAAAAATGCTTTTTCTTTTAACCACTTATTATTTTATACCACAAGAGAACTACATTGAAAGATCCCTTTTTTAGATAAGGAATCTTATCTAAAAGATTTTAGGCAATAAAATAAATATTTTATTGCCTAAAATACCAAATGATACAATTAATTTGATGAATACTTGATTATTTGAAGCAAATGAAGCATCTGCAGCCTATAAACTACTGACATCAACGTGTGAAAGTGCTTAACACTTTCACACAATTTTCTTCGCAGAATCTGAACTTTGTGAAACTGAAGCTGCCACCTGAGAAGTTCTAAGTAAAACAGATTTACAGAGAAACTGATTTAATTTTTATCTTAAATGCAAAATGTAGATTTTTTGAGTCTGCCTGCTCCAGTTAACGATTAATCATGATTATTTAAATAACAGATTAATCGTTTCAGCCCAATAAAATTTCCTGCAAAGTGCTTCTACAAACCATCCAGCCCAGAGCGATTTGAAACGTTTATCTGCAGGACACTTGGTCAGAGGTCAGGGTAACAAACGGCCTCATTTGGTGCCTGGAACAGCAGCCCAGGGATCCTGTTTCCTCTGAGACAGTTTCACTCATCCAGTGCTAATGATGCACAAACAATCATCCCTTCTGCGTCTTGTCACAATAATCTAACAGGCCACACAAAGGAAAGACCTAAAATTATATTTTTTTAAAGTAAAACTTACTCAAAACATTGCAAGGAGGATCTTTGATTATCTAGATGACAGGAGCTGCAACTAATGATTATTTTGTGATGATTAATCAATTGGCTGGATTTAAAAAATGCCACAGATTTTTTATTTCATAAGTTTTTTTGTTTTTTTTTTACATAATGTTAGCAATACAGTAGAAGATGCAAATCATTTGTAGCAAAGGATGCATCTGCTGATAAAAATACTCCAAAGAGTTTTTGGACATAATTTGAACCAGGTGGAGATAAAACTGCTACCTGAGGAGTTCTGGGTGAAACATATTTACAGAAAATGAAGGATTTCCATCTTAAATGCAAAATTTATATATTTTTTATGAAGTTTTGTCTTAATATCTGGATTGATTGTGTTGCTCTTTTAGCAAATTACCACTTTCAAAGTCTGTATGCTCCAGTTAAAGATTATTTGATTATTAAGTTAGTGACTGATTCTTTCAATCGATTAATCATGATTAATCAAATTTATGATTTGTTCAATTAATCACAATTAATCACGTGATTACTGAATTAGTTGACGGTTACTTAAAGAATCGATTAATCACAATTAAAGAATCGATTAATCACGATTAACTGAATTAATCGTTTCAGCTCTGAAGTCATTGGGGAAGGCAGTGACGCTCACACCTGGGGCAGATGTTCCTACCTGGCCGTCTCCTTCCACTCCATCTCCTGCCCGTCCACTTCCAGCAGCTCGTCCAGCTCGGTGAAGAGCTGCGGGGGCGCCGGGCCGTCATCGTCCTCCCCTAAGATGAATCGGATCCTCTCGGCTGCCGGCGAGACTGCGAGAGACGGAAAGATACTGCGTTTCACAGGCTGGCACTGGTTCCCGTTGGGCAGCGGTTTGGACTTCTCGCCCTCCGCTGGACTCTTCACCTCCGGCGGAGGTGGAAGAGGAGGAACTTTAACCTCCTCTGCATCCTCTTCCTTTTCCTCCTTCTCCTCTTGATTATTGTTTTTGGACATCTTTTAATATTTCAGTGACCCCCCCCAACCCGTTGCTCGCTGAGTCAGCAGAGATTGACACAAGCCCACCCGAGTCCCAGCGCAGCAGCTAGACCTTCATTAAAGCCCCTGGTGGAAGTGACAGCCGATCTCAGACGCCTTTGCACTTTGCAGAACAGGTAGGAGGGGGCCAATGGGTTTAGGGGTCCCCTCGGTGGCAGCGAGCCCCCGCTCCCTCCACGCCTCCCCTTCTCTGTTCAAACAAGCCTTCACTATTGGTCCTGCTGCCTTGGCAAGTGGCCGTGAAACCCTCATTAACAAATAGGAAATGCTGCACAAACTGGCCTATTCTCTGGCCGCGGCTTGCCTTCGCTCCCCTTTGTCTTTTCATTTGAATATTAAGAGTGTTACATAACACAAAGCGAAACACGGCTTCAGCAGGATTTATATACTTTTCAGTGCTTTTCAGTGGATGTAAATAAACAACATGATCAGACATTAAAATTAAAGTTTTAATGATGGACCACCAACAGTGGTTACATAAAAGCTCAGAGGGATGGGAGAAAACTGAACATACAGTTCCAGTCAGCAGCTTGGAAACACTCGCCATGGGAACCGTTCATTTGAACAGTTCTTTTTATGGAATAATATACAACATTAAGCTGCACTGACTGCTTTTCAACACTGACCAACATGTTGGATTTTTGGTCATCAAAATGTAAGGTGTTTTCTTTATAACTTTCTAGTTTTCTGTTTTAATTATTTAAAGCGCCTTGCTGCTGAAATACGTGACACAAATAAACTTTGATTTGATTGATCAGTTCCAGGATTTCACAAATGCTTTTTTATTGCAATCAAAATAACAGATTTTGTGGTGGTGCTTATAAATATTTGTAAGAAATTTTGTGATAATTAAACTCCATTAAACCTCTTTGAAAATCTACATTTAGAAGAAAAATGAATACAAAGACAGATTTTTCACACCAACATTTTTATCCTTGTAATAATTTAAAAAGCTTGACTTTTGTTACGCACCATATCGATCGCAGAATATAACTTGGCACCAAGTAAACTAAAAATAAAACTGCAGCTAAAATTTAAAAAGTAAATTTCATCTCATTTAGGTCTCAACTTGTCTGTTTGTTTTTTTTGAAGGATAATTTTGTAATTCATTTCATTTATTGTTTCTGTTATTTTGTCTATTTATTTCAGATATTTAAAATGTCTTCCAGTTCCAGTAAATGTTAATCAGAATTTAAATTTTATTGAGAATGTCTTCTTGAATTATTATGCTATTATCATTACATATGATTGAAAATGGTCTCACAATTATCAGTAACTTCTGGGGCGATTTATCGTCCAGTAAAATCCGTTACCGTGTCAAAGCAACAGATACAGAAACAAAAAACCGATGCTGACTCTACAGCCAATAATAAACCATTCTCTTCCTTCACTTCAATTTACCCAAAAAGGAAAATCGTTTTGTGAAGATAATCCAAATTTTGAGTCCAACTACATACAAACATTTGATAGAAAAGATTCAATAAACAATCTGAGAAAACTCTGGTAGCTTTGATCTCTTCCCTAGGCAAAATAACCAGAGTTTCATAACGTAACTCTTAAATAAGGACATTTTGGTAGCGTTTAGATCCAGTGTTGACTGTTGAGCTAATTTATCCATTTGAAAGCGATGTGGACGCATGTTTCCAGGTTCGCTCACCACATCTGTGCCTGGCATCCACAGACAGGAATCAGACTGTTCATCGACACGGTGCTGCATGACAGGCCGTCTGCAGGTGATCTCAGGCTGGTTTCAGTCTCCTGTGAATCTGAGCACAGATGTGTGCACAAATTTCACATGGCCTCCTCTAAGCCAACAAAGCAACCGCAGTCAAATACCATAAAGTGCTGCTATTGCTTTGACTTACTTCAAATAATAAGATACAACTCAACTCAATCACTCGTATGTGCCAAATTATATCCAGAAAAAACATCTGGTGCTTGAATTTCTTTATAAGAATTTATATAACTCAAAAATGAAGCTGCCTTGCACTTCAGTGATGTGTCTGTACCAGGATCTCACTTAGATAGTAATTTTATTAAACACTGATGTGGACTGAAGCAAAAACAACAGACACCAGGAGCTGAAATTAGCAAAATGAGCTACAATTACGGTAAAAAGGCTGCACAGTTCCAGGGTTTCACACAAAAGAGTCACGTCAAGTTTGTTTGTAGCCCATTTCAGCAACAAGGCAGTTCAAAATGCTTTAATAATAAAAGATGATCACCAATTATGAAATAACCAGCAAGCAAGACATTTTGTCAAACAAAATTGATCAATGTTCCAGTTGAATCAGCTCTAAAAAGCCTTAATTTAAAGTTTCGGCTGCTTCCTGGAAGTTTGTTCCAGATTTGTGGTGCACAGAAGCTGAAAGCTGCTTCTCCATGTTTGGTTCTGGTTCTGCAGATTTAATGTAGATTTGAACCAGAAGGCCTGAGAGGTCAGGAAGGCCGAAGCAGCAACAGCAGATCTGTAATGTGTTGTGATGCTAAACCGTTCAGTGATTTATAAACTAACAGTATTTTCAAGGCAAACCTGTGAAGACGCTGCAGCTTTAATAAATGCAACTAAAGATAAACACATGGATGAGTTTCTCCAGCTCTTACTGAGGCATTAGTGCTTTAATTCTGGAAATGTTCTTCAGGTGACAGAAGAACGACTCTGTGACCGTCTTTACCTGAAGGTTCAGGTCTGATTTCATCACTACACCCAGATAAATCTGCCATTGGAATAAGCAGTTTAAAAAAATAATAATAATTTAAGGAATTATTGCCTTAAAACAAGCTCCTATATTGTGCTGAAAGTTACTTGTAAGTTAGTTTTGTTTTATTTCAAATGTACTAAGATATTTACACTAGAAACTAGACCAAAATTACTTGGTAAGATTTTGTTTTTGCAGTGTGGTTTGAGACAGATAATGTATGAAAAAAATCAAGTTCCTATGTCTTTTCCCAGTCCTTTAAAAAAAACAACCAATCAGAGTGAGGAGGCGGGTCTTAGCGCTGTTAATCACGCCCTTTAAAACTCCTCTGTTGTTGCTAGTATAGCCTATAATGAATGCTCAGGCTAGTTGGCAATAGTGCTGGATAAAACTTTTTTTCTGTAAAAGTAAGTTGTTAGTACATTTAGCAATGAGTACCTGAGATTGATTGACAGCACTAAGCCCCACCTCCTGGCTCTGATTGGTTATTTTTGGTGCATTTCTTCAGACGGCAATAGTAGTTCAGGAAGGAGGTGGAAGATATATTTTTCACAGGTTATCCATCTCATAATGAACTCTCACAACATGGTGACAGTTTTAACAAATATGGAAAAAACATTTTTTATATAAAAGTTGAATAATGTAATCAATAGTTTGAACAACCAAGCAAATAAATCAAATTTCAGCAAAAAATTGGAGTTAATCATCAAGAAATGAAGGTATGAAAGAACCAAAATTTCTCCACAACATTTTGTGAATTTCTTAAAGAAAAACATCTTTCAGGATATCAAGTGAAGGCGGATAAAATGTGTCACCAAATCAGCATTTTGGGCCGATAGTAGACGAGGGGAAGGGTTGCACTTTTCCCCTCATTGTGCATTTCTGCAGCACATTAACAGCAGCAGGTAGAGGCCAGACAAACAGCTGAAAGATTACTGGGTGGAGGATAAACTGTCTGCACTTCGCTCCCTCACTCACACACACACATCAACACAAGCTGCACTAGCTTTAGCTCCAGCCACCTGTTTAATAACATCCCACAGGATATAATTAACACACATTCAGCTGACGGCCACATCTACAGAGACTTACCTCGATTACAGTAAACAGTTAAAACAGGATTTAAATACATATACGGTCAAAAGTGCATGGAGACTATAGCTGGCACTGCAGAGTTTACAGAGAGCAACGAGTGGAAATAAAACGGTAACGACGCAATTTATGAGTAACATTTTCAAAAAATTTTAGCTTTAAGAGTATTTTTACTTCTCTTTTACTTGAGTAACTTTTATTAAAGGGGCAGTATTGTGTTAAATTAACCTGTTTCAGCTTTACATCATGGTATGATGTGACTCCCTCATCAAAAACAAACCTGGACTTTTGCCTCGATTCTTTCATGCATGTTTGAGAAATCATTTAATCTCCATGGCAACCACTCAGCTGTGCAAAACGCCTGGGCGGCCCTAGCCCCGCCTTCTAGGCGCAGCTCCTCCTATAGACTGAAGTTTCTAGACCTCTGCTTGGAGCTTGCATGTCCTCCCTGTGCATGAGTGGGTTCTTCCTGGGTACTCTGGTTTCCTCCCACAGTCCAAAGCATGACTGGTGGGTCAACTGGTCTCTCTAAATTTGCCGTGTGAGGGACGACCTGTCCAGGGTGGTTGGATTTTTTTTTTAATTATTGAACTAATCATTACATTCTGTATTTAGATTCTGATTTTAAAATTTATTTATTTAGCAATAAACATGTATTTATTCAGATCTGTATTTGCTTACTTACATAATTGTTTATTTGTGAAATTACACAATATCCTTTTGAAAAACATTAATTTATTTTTTACTTGTAAACTTCCTTATGTAAACTTATTTATTTATTTGGTCATAATCATTTTTCATTTATTTTCAATTAAATTTTATGTTTCCTATATAAACTGATACATTTAGAACTTATTTTTGTTAGACATGTTTCCAATAAATAAATATTTTTATTATTCATTTTTGTTAAAATACTCACAATATACTTAAATATGCTAACAATATTTTTTCACTATTCATGTTTATTAAACATGTCTCCAATA